CTGAATATGTATTGTTTTCTATGCAGTACAATTTTCTCCCGATTACTCTCTCGATCAGACGAAACCCGGCGTCCCTCGTATGGGACAGTCCTAACGGTTTGCATTGTATTTGACACGTTGCATTTGGGATCACTGCTAATCGAGGACAATCACCTCGCAGCCAATGTGCCCAAAGTAACTGTAACTATTATGAAGTATTTTAGATACACGTTGTACCTGAGAACTGATGCCAGGGGTAATTTTTAATCACTTATAACTAAATAATGGGACCCCGGACGCATTTTTTTTTATTTTTGATTTGTGTGCTTCTTGACCTTCTTATGTGACCTTGACTTCTATGACCCCTCAAAGTTTTTCTCATCAGTAGCTGAACACCCTATATATGTCTCTATTTTTATGGGTTTGTCTACGTATGGAAACTACCTTCAGTAATCTGTACTTTTTTAATCGCAAATCTTTGTACATCGCATGTAATTTCTCATTTATCATTTCGAATTTTGTTTGCAGGCTGAACTGATATTTTACATCAACGGTGTGTCTCAAGGTGTAGCCATATCTAACATCCCAGAACGAATTTTCGCGGTGGTAGATATGTACGGCGATTGCGTGCAAGTGACTATAACTCACCCGCAAGTCGTTCCTGCTATAAGCAACGAACCGAAAGACGACGTCGAGATCAATAACGATTGTGCTCTCGGCGAGGCATCGAACTCCTCTACAACCAATTTAGTCGCCAATTTGAACGTTAATCTGAATGTGAATGTGAACGTGAACTTACCGAAGAATCCGAGCGCGGCTGCCATTAGAGAAGATAGACTGAGGTTTCACGAGAGGGTTGGCTCGTTAGTAAAATTGTCGAATAACGCAAGGACAGCTGAGAGGCGGAGAGCTTTAGACGAATTTAATAACGGCGTCGTGATGACTCACAGGCCGTTAAGGGATAACGAATTGTTCGAGGTAAATTACCATTGAACTCAGATATTTAAAAAAGAGTATATTGTATCAGTTTTAATAGTTGAGTACAGTAAGACTTCTGTTATACAGGTCTTGGGCAACTGTTGGTACCAGCGAAGAGGAGGTGATTCTACATGAACAAATAAGTTGAAAATATAGAATAAAATTTCTTCATATGAGGCTTTGCTTTCGAGAAAATCTACTTTGAATTTTCGCCGGGTACACGTGCATTTGATCATGTCTCGTTATAATGGATCTAACTGTAGATCATTGTCTCGATGGATCATTATCGCAGTTTAACCCTTTGCACTCGAGGCCTTTTGCGCTCGGGCGAACCAGCAACTCGAGACGATTTCGGCTATATTAGAGAAGAACTTTAGGGATACTTCAAATCATTTTATACCCAAAAGAACGTATACAAATAATAAAATTNGGGTATCTGCCGCGAATATGGAGAATTTAATCTCGACGAATTAAGAGTAATTTTAATATACAAAGTTGTTACTATATTGCCATTAACATTTTATATTATATCTGATGTATTCTGCTTTAGGAAGGTGACAGAGTAGGCATGATAAGGCGAAGCAACGGAAATCTACATTATTTGATAAACGGTTTGGATCAAGGCATCGCCGCGAAAGTACCTGGAGGCGTTTGGGGTGTGATAGATTTGTACGGTATGACGGTGAAGGTAACAATCGTCGATCGCGACGAGAGGGAAGAACAAAATTTAGTTACCAGGAGAAACACGTTGCATCTGCAAGGATTAAATGGTAAGAGAAGCATCATGAATGCGTAAATAATTGTGGCGTTTGGTCACGGCCATATTGTCGACCGTTTTAATAGGGATTTCTCATCAAGCATACCACCAAACGGAATCATTAATATCCTGACACCCACATAATGCTAGTTCATTTTTACAGAAACGGAGGAAGAACCGCCGGACCGGCTGATGTTTCATTCTTCCTGCGGTACGCACGTCGAAGTGATTAATAACGGTCGTACTGCGCACAGGCCTAAGTAATGCAAATTTAAGCCAAAAAAAATTATATAAATTCAAACTTGCAGAAAGCCGGTTAGTGAATAATGCGTAATTGTTGTCTAGCGTGATGGACGATTTCAATAACGGGGTTGTGTTAACGTCGCGGCCGTTGAAAGCAAATGAATTGTTCGAGGTTCGCTTAGATAAAATCGTGACGAAATGGGCGGGATCCATCGAGATTGGCGTCACGACTCATTCCCCGACCGAGCTCGAGTTCCCTTTCACGATGACCAATGTTAGGTATGTAGAATATTAACATTTCCAATTTATTTTGTTATGGAGTGTTCACACTATGATTTCCGTAGAATCTGTGATTTTCAATAGCTAAACGTAAGCAATTCAGTGCTGTGGTAGTAAAAATACGAGATATACACGATGACTATATTTTTGGGAGTTGAGAATTATAATAACACACAAACAACAGCAAAAGATAACAAAATTCTTGTATTGGATTATTTCATAAATTATTTATTGAAAGGAAGGAAAAGAGTAATTAAATAGAAATAACTGCTTAAAGCGAGAAGAACAAGAAACAAAAATAAATCTTCATGACGTAAAAAAATTTGACATTGAAAAAATTTGTCTATCGCAAAAATTGACGAAGAGTTAAAAATGAATCACTTTGTAAAAATCTTCGATTATTACAATTTATTATTAAAATAAATTAGAAACTTAATTGCAAAAGACCCATTTTTATCTTATTTGATGCTATATAATTTATATACAGGGTGGGCCGGAAATCGTAGTACCCGGGGTTAAAAAAGAAGAATATATTTTGTTATAACATTTTTACATCCGGAGCTCCTTTTTGTGGAAATCGACTTGAAAGTTTGTTCAACTACGTAAAAAAATTTCGGGGACAATTATGTATTTCAGCAGCTTGTCCTTTCTTTTTGCAGTTTTTACTTTTTTTTCTCCTTATTTTCGCATTTCCTATGTATGCCACTGGATTGGTCGCGTTTAATTACCAAAAATTACTTCTACGGAAATCGTATTGTCTATACTTCATTATGCAGTAACGCGGTTTAAGTTTACGTTAAGTTCATCGCCCGTGTTATTGCTCGAAGGTGGTCATGTCCCTTGCAGATCCGGCACGTGGATGATGACGGAAAACGGCGTGATGCACAATGGCACGACGATTATAGATCAATATGGACAGAATCTGGATCGGCTGCAAGTGGGTGACCGGGTCGGTGTTACGAGGAAGGATAACGGGACGTTGCACTTTTTTGTGAACGGTGCGGATCAAGGACCCGCGGCGATGAACGTGCCTGAGAAAGTTTACGGCGTGATCGATCTGTACGGTCAGGCTGCCCAAGCGACTATCGTTGACAATACGGATTCCTACAGTCCCACTACGAACAATTCCAGTTTTAGTAACACGACTCTATATAGGTTCGCAAACTCTATTCACGTTATGGATTTTATGTATTTAAGGAAAACGTAAAAGATGCAAGGACGTAATGTGAAAACACGTATTACTATTTTTTGAAGATCAGACAAATTCCTATTTAGAATATTAAATAGACGTTACGAATGTTTTATTTTGCGTACACGCAATAATGGGGCTATCTTTAAATCACTGACATGAATACATTTTGAATACTCTGTTCTACTGTGTACAATTGTTATCATTATTTCTCTACTGAACGTGTCGGTGATAGTGTTGCAAATAATCGATTAAAT